CACAACAGGCTAATTCTATAAGTAACATCAAAATACAGTATCTTTAAGATTTCAATGTCATACTCATCCATCCCTCATCTTTTCCATCTTCTTTTATCCACTTTACATGTTTGATCACTATTGAAAGATGGAGAAAGGGCAGAATAGGAGAAAATGAAGAGAAGAGATGGAGAGGGGTTAGTTATATAAACCAGCCCCAATACACCTGTCTCTACCCTTTAGATTATCTAATCTAGTATCCGCCCTCACCTACGCCAGGAAAACGGTGCTAATCCAATATTTCTTAATCAATTCAATGGGCTTTCTTTGGCATAATGACTTATTTAAAGCAATCTAACTGACTGCCAATGTTTGAATCATTCTAAAAATACACATTTAACAAAAACTCCAATATATAAGACAACTCGCAACAAAACGTGTTCCTAAACCTTCATTAGCCAAACAGGCTCTCAAAATGAACTTGAACCTCTATTACAACCCCGTTCCTTGCATACCTTCCCTCTTCATGCCCATGGCCAGGCACTTCTGGTAGCGGCAGTACTGGCAGCGATTGCGCTGGCGTTTGTCGACCAGGCACTCTTTGTTATCCCTGCAGGTATAGCTCAGGTCTTTGCGCACAGTTCGTTTGAAGAAACCTTTGCAACCCTCACAGCTGTACACGCCATAGTGCTTGCCTGTAAATTAAAAAGTTAAAATAGTAAGGTTAGAGGCCGTTGGGCAGCTCAAACACAATATCAAAGTGCTCAAACAGTCTGACATACATTTTATATTTCCATTAGCAGTCGTGACTGAGATCCATTTTGTTCAAATCTGACAGTATCTGACGGGGATTATCCACATTTTTAAAAAAAAAAGGGGTCTGTAGCTGATGTTTCACTTGTCCTAATCCTGCTCCGAGTGCACTCACTCACCAGAAGAGCGGTCTCCACAGATGACACACAAGCGTTTCTGAGACAACATTAGTCCAGGGCTGTGAGATGGCATGGGCCTCAGGCCAAACGGAGGCTTGATATCTTCTGAGCTGCTGATTGAGTGCATCCCTGATATGGGTGCTGAAGAAGAGATCTGGATCCACGGTGCAAGCAAAAAAAAGAACAATTAAAACATTGTCTGTGTGTAATATTAAATGACAACCCTGCTTTTGGTTTCCTGGACTATGTGGTCGTCCTATTCAACAGCCTGAGAACACCGACTGAGCATCAGTGTGCACACAAAAACTTCCTGCAACTAACATTATGCAAAAGTGCTTCCTCTTCTTTTAACCATTCACTGAATTATACATATAATATGTATAAACTTTTAATACAGTGTACCCAAATCTAACATTTAGCCCTTTGCCCTCAGGTAAACAAACACCGGTACCCTACATTTAATTCACAGACTCAAACTCACTTACCTGACTGTTGCTGATGGGTCCAAATCCCAGAGAGGGCGAGACCACTGGGGAGTTAAGTGACGGACTGATAACTGAGAAAGGAGATCCCAAGATGTTGGTGGGGCTGTTGGAGGCTGAACTGTTGGGCTGCTGTGAGGACATGACTAGTAAACTACCCAGAGGAGAGGAAGATGTCCCGTCTGAAGGATATCAATCTGAGGGTGACACAAACAGGAAATCATTAGCATTAGGTTTTGGATTGAACTTGCTTGATTCAGACATTTGTCTTTGCAGTAAACGGTTGTGAACTGAAGACAATTACCAGGCGATCAATACTGGTAATAAGAAGACATTTTAAGCTTTGGATTTTCTGGTGAGAAATTGTGATGGAGTCCTTTCTGCAGGACACACTGACGTTGCCTATTTTACCCACAGTTAACGTCCATAAAAACTAAACCCGTAAAATAAACCCGACACAAATGTCAAACGAAATTAGTGCTTTGATGGACGAGATGTGATTTTGAACCACGTCGTTTATTAGTTAAGCTGAACCTCATAGTTGTTTTACATGAGCCGCGCTAATCAAAGTGGACAAATTAAAAGACCAAAAGCAGCGTTTGTAGTTTGATCTGTATTCAAACTAAACAAAACCCCCAACCAGTTACACTAACATCTGCTTACATTACAAAGTGTTTGTTAACGTTGGCATCGCAATAACGTTACACGTTTGCTAAATGTTGCTAACGTTACGCAGGAACGTTGTCATTAACGTGGAAAACAGCATTCAGTAAATGTACAAAAAAAACACCCAGTGCCAGTGTCCATTAGTGTTTTCACGAATACATGCTAACGTTAGTACAACGTATTACCGGTCGTAACACATAAATACCCCCATACGTTTTGCGTTTACCGTTAGCTAGTTAGCTGCAAACCCATAACCGCTCGAAAGACTACAGCTAGCATTAGCTTCGGTTGCCATAAGTTACGTCTGGCTAATCTTTCACCCTACTACGTTTAGTAAGACTACGATATGAACATACCCCGTTATTCATCAAGAAAACGTGCAGCTCGTTAACTCGACGGTCACCGAGCCACTCCAATAAATCTGCACAACCAGCGCAGTGTTTTCTGGCTAGCTCAGATTAGCCTCTTAGCTGCAATTACGGCTAACTTGGCTAATATGGCTAGCATTAGCCTTTCGCACGGGTTCGGGGTGGTAGTCTGAAGAAGCAGTTGTTGACAAAATCGCTCATGGTCGTTTGAAGGTTGGGATTACTTACCAGACACACCTTCGACGCATTGTTGGAAACCACTTCGCTATAATCGGACAAGCGCCAGACAACAAGCCGACGCTCAGATCCAGTTTACTTCAACTTGACGCTGTTGTTGTTTACAGGCCATGATGGCTCAGTGCCAGTATCCCTTGAGCCAAAATGTCTCATGGGACCACCCATAACAGTACTGTCATATGACACTCCTGCAGTGTGTCTTCAGCACGATGTATAATTCAATCAGGCTGATTGTGTTTCATTGTTTCACGATTCTGCGCCAAGATTTGAACGCATGCATGAAAATAATAATTATAATAAATTACACCTAATGGTTTGTTACAACCTATATATGTGTGTGTGTGTATTGCTCTAAAATCGTGTAAACGACCTTCCCAATAAAGTCGACTCATACACATGCACACACCATCTGTTCAGTGCACAAAACGTTGTTATAAAAGGCACATATCCATATCTATGAATATCACTATGTCATTTTGATTAAGATGAGGTATTGGTAAACCAAAACTCATGAGATGGTAATTTGTATTAAATTCAAGCAGAAATGCAGTGTGTGTGTGTGTGTTTTGGGTGGTGTAAATATGACACAAGAGATAACCTGCAGCCACAGTGTGTGGTCCACACCTACAACAAGTGCTGGAATGCTTTTCTCTCTGGGAGGAGGGGTATATACAGTATTGCACAATGTGCCTAAGCTCCAGTGACGTTGTATGGTATCATTTTCACTAATCATTTAAAATATTTAACACAGGGTTTTGTTTTTGTAATCCTTTGACCTAATTTTTTAACTCTACCGAAGAATAGCTTGCACTTTATAAAGAGTTGTTAATCAATTACTATATGTTTTTAACCATTTGGATCCAGAAGTGTGCTACAATTTCTATTTAGCAGTCATTTACTTTTTCTTTTCACATGGTTAAATTGTTTAAAATATTCTTTTTGTCACCTATATTAAAAGCAGTTTCTAAGAAAAACTCTAGGCCTATGGAAACCTAAATTTTTTTTTATTACAATACTGTTTCTCAATACTTCATTGGATTAATTTAACATTATAATGAATATTGTTTTATAACTGAATAATTCCCATTTTCTCACACACATCAGTGTCTGGGTGGGGGTATACTGAAATATTTTAAATGATAAGATGTGTGATAGGTTTACGCTAATCCCTTGTCAGCATTTGGTTTCAGTATCGGACAGGAGAAGGGAGACGTGGGAAAGGGGTTCACATCTTTCACAGTTTGCAAAACAAAAAGCTTACCTTCATTCTTCACCAACCAAGTCACTGATGGATAAGATGTCCCATTTAGACTCTATTTATCTCAAGGAGGTGGGGCGATCTTAATATTGCCCACCCCGTTCGGGGATTTTAATCCCGCCAGGAGCTTGTAATGTAATTAATGTTATTTCTGATTCAACTAGTTAACACTGCTAAATAATGACAGGATCATAGATCATTCATATGTAAGCAGATTCACAAAGTTGTCCACTGTTGGTCATTGTATTTCATGGCAGGGTTAACTGTTCATCTCCACAAACCATAAAGCCACGTACAGTATGTGCAAGAGAGAAAGAAACCTGAAATACTGCTTCGTCAGTAACTGCTCTAGAAGACCTGTCTCTTAACAAGCCAAGTGGCATTCTTACTGCAAACACTGTGCTCCTCACAGCTGCTATTACCTTATGTTAGAAAACTGGACAGAAACTGGTCATAACAGGACATTATATTGATTTATAATACTTTTATTTATTTTTTATTTTTTTTGCTTTTTGTTAAGATGATCATGACTGAAAAGAGATTTATCGTGATGCTTTGGATCTCAGGTTTGAACCTTACATGCTTTTTTTTTTTATTGCTGTTGATTGTGTTCGTCATATGATATTTTTCAAATGTATAATATAAATGCATGGATATAGTTGGCTGCTTGTGAAGACACTAAGATTTTTAATTGTGAAGAAATAACTCTTTTTGAAATGAAAAAATACAAATACAAGAATGTTGTTATTATTGTTGGTACTCAAACTGCTGTAATATACTATCTGTAATTTCACAGGATTTTGCTCCTTCACACTGGGATCTTCAGATTTTCACCTTATTAACATTTCAAAGACCTACGAAGAAGCAAAGACCTATTGCAGAGAGATGTACACTGATTTAGCTACAGTTCATAACTCAACAGATATGAATAGATTGGTCACATTCATATCGGGCGCCGTTGCCAGAGCTTGGATAGGACTGGAGACTGGAGATGTGTGGATGTGGCACTGGTCGTGGCCTGATCAAAAACTGGATTTTTTTAACTGGAAGGCAGGAGAACCACAAAATAAGAATCAAGATGCGTGTGCAGCAATGGATCAACACGGCAAGTGGGTTGAAAGTGACTGTGGAACTAGAAGAAGTTTTGTTTGTCATGGTAAGTGAAATGGCAAAATTGCAGTCAATTATTTCAGACTGCACATTTACATTTAAATGCAGAACATTACTATGGTCTTTTTGTCTTAAATATGAAATCTGTGGACTTGCAGGCAACAGTAATACCAGTGGTCACATTTTTGTTGCTGAGACCAAATCATGGAGGGACGCTCAGAATCACTGCAGGGGCTTATTGTCTGATCTGGTCAGCATACACTTGGCAAAAGAGAATGAGGCTGTACAAAATGTGTCTGCGTCACAAGATGTGTGGATTGGCCTCTTTAAAGATCCCTGGAAGTGGTCTGATGGGAGCAACTCATCATTCCGTGACTGGAAACCCTTTCAGCCTAATTACCTTGAAGGTCAGAATTGTGTTGCTGCTGTATTCAATGATCAAGGGAAGTGGAATGACCTAAAATGCAGTGGCAAACTCCATTTTGTTTGTCGTGGGGGTAAGTTGCTGTATTACATGCTCTGTCAGCAAAGTGATCTAGTAGAATTTCTAATATTAATGTTTTTTAACCAAACCACTCAGTGTCTATTCATTTATTACTTACTCTTACAGCAAATAAATCCATTCCAACCACCAACCAAGTTAATATGACAACTCTTCCAAACACATCTCAAGAGGTCATAATAACATATCACTTTACTGTGGTTTCTACCAATCATTCAAACATCATTAATGTTACCACCACTGAAGCAACAACTGCCAATGAACTGACAACACCAAATACCACAGACATTGTGTCAAGTACCTCAAGCACTGAGCTCAACAATGCAACTGCAGAACTATCAACTGTGACAACAATGCAGACACCTCCCACAACTACTGTGCACACAACAACAGATGGCGCCTCTGCATTAACAACACTGAATGAGACTCTAAAGCCCACTGAAATGGCTCCAGGTATGTTTAAACTCATCGTGTGCCTTTGTGTTAATTTTGCTTAAATTTGTATTATGAAATTAAGTACAATATCTCTGTTTTTTCTTCCTGTCGTCTTCCTAAAGGAAATCTGATACTAATCCAGGAAAACGTGACATGGATTGAAGCTTTGAGTTACTGCAGGGAGCACCATATTGACCTTGTCCACATTACGACCAAAGACATTCAGGAGAAGGTGGCTGAAAAGGCAAAGAATGCCACCTCTCCCCACGTCTGGCTAGGTCTACGCTACACTTGTAATTTTAAGTTTTGGTTCTGGACCGGTTCAACTACTGCCTGTTACCTGAACTGGGCACCGGGACAAGGATCAGATGGGAAATATGACTGTGGTGTTACAGGTGCCATTGAGGCCACTGGGAGGCAGCAGTGGGTAGGCTTGCCTGAGACAGAAAAACTGAATTTCATCTGCTCTGCATGTGCCGGATGAGTGCAGAGGGCCAGTGACACTTCAGAGGAGGAAGAGTTTTAAAATGTGTGCTAGTTAAACAAGCATTGCTCTTTCACAGTGCTATGTTTGCAGCTACTAATTTAATGTTTTTGACATAAATTGTAACATAAAGCTGATCGACTTCAACAGAGATATGGGTATTTTAACGCTCCCTCATGACGTCATACTTCTACCTTTGTTGAAATACAGCTGCCTTCTCTATTGTTCAGATTGAATTTCATTAAATATGAAAACCTCATGTGGTGTGTAGGCGTGCACATTCACAGTCATGGGCAGCAAGAGTAATGTGAGAACATTGATCTGCTCTATGCTTTTCACTCAGGGGTTACTATTTGCATGTTGACCCCCTGGGTTGGGCCCCCAAGACTGTCTTTTTTAGACCACCAGAGTATGGCCCCAATGCAGACTGCCTGCTGCCCTCACTGACCTGACCTTCACTAGCGGCAGCATGGAAGACAGAGCTCACAGACGCTCACCTTCCTGTCTGCACCCTTGAGGTGCATGGAGCATCTATAACCATGGGAACTGGAAATGATACAACATATTCATTGATCAAAAACTGTATTTCATCAATCTCAAACTGTATGACATTAATGCAACAGTGAATATACTGTTTTAACTGTTATCAGACAGCTTGTTCCATAGAACCAGTCTTTGGATGAAAATCATATGTTGCTTGTGTATTTTTATTTTATTGTTTTTACTTTTCACAACACAGTAAAATTCTGCTTTTTTAAAAAATGAATATCTCCTGATAAATATTCGAATGGGCTTTAATTGTCAGCTGGTACATTTTAAAGTCCAAGATCTCTATGAGTTAAAAAAAGAAGAAACTGTGTTAAGAATGGAGGAAATATATTGTGTTTAATACTGTTAGTTATTATAACTGTCAGTTAAAACTATTGGAAAACAAATGGTGATACTGGATGCATACTGAAGTGAGTCCTTAAATCACAAAATGAATAAAATTATATGTAACTACATCCCAGTATATTCCTAAATGCCTGTTTTTGGAAAGAAGTGACCTTAATATTTTTTAATACTTACAATATGATCCAGTTTTAAGGACAGTACAGCATTATATGAGTATGTTGGCAATATTTAGTTAAATAGCACCATATAACCACTGAATACCAGTACGTATAGCTTGTAATCCACCACTGAATTCTGATAACTGCTTTTGCATCCACAATGAGGGTCTTGTCACTTGTCAATTACCACGGACCATTACACATGAGTGTGTCTTAGCTTAGTTTTTCTCTGAATAGGCATTGGTCAGTGCGCCTCCCATCAGTTCAATGTTAATGTCCCATTGGGTCCAGTCAGTCAGTCTCTGGACTACCCCCTCACCTCTTTTTCTCACCCTCATCTCCTCTTGTGTGCTGTCCAGCTGGCTCTGACCTCTGACCCTTTCACCCTCACTCCTGACCCCTGAGGACATTCCCACGCCACACCCTTTTGTGTACATCTCTCCATGGAAACCCAGTGGTCACTCCCTCTGCATTTTTAGAGATTATGGTGATAGACATAATTCACTTTCACTGGGATCAGTGTAATGCAACCTAATTTGGCCTAATCCCAATTCAAGTATGAGGTGCAACAAAACTGTGCTACAAAACTGTGTATTTATTAATAGTGTGTGTAAACCTTCCCAATATAGGACATAAAATAGCATAATTACTTTACATGTCAGTTTATCATATGAATTATTAGCCTTACAAAACATAATAAAGAATATATTTACCAAATCAAAAAGTTAAATGCAATGACAAAATGCTACTGTGTGAGGGTCCGAACATTAAACAAAAAGTTCTATGAATGTGGTCACTTTTATGGGTATTTATTCAGAAATTTCTGAAGTCGAAAACTTTAAAAACGAGTGCAAATATTGGTTGTTAACTTTAAGTCTCTTTACCTGCCATGCGCACTTGTGTCCTTCTCTCTCTTCTTTTCTTCTCTGAGTCTACACCCCTCCGTAGATCCCTCCCTTCTTTTCCTTCTGTCACTTTCACAGTTAATTGTAGAAAAAGAGATTTTCTCCATTGAGGCCGTGTCTCTTAGGTAACCCCACTCCTGCATGAAATGAGATGGATAGAGGGGAAGAGACAGAGAGGGGGACATGGACAGGCAAACTGAACAAGCAGCGGTTGAAGACGGATGCAGAGGAGAGTTAACTTAGCAATATTTGAAATCATTTAGAAAGAAAAAGTTTTAAAACTTCATATGCATAGGGACAAATGATTCATATCTGCTTCTCTGGGACTATTATCAGTATATTATTGATGGTGCATGGTGTAAGTATTAAAATAGTTTACTTTTTTACTACTTTCGCTTAGTACAAGTGAATTCACTAATATTGACACTTATAGATAAGAAATAAAGGGAATTGTTAAATTAAAAATATGTACATTTTTAAACAAGCATTTAGTGGTAGAAAATTTAGGAACATGGATTACATAATTTTTAAGAAACAGCTACTCTTGGATTACATTTTTGAGTGTTTAGCGCACTTTCTCTTGACATTTTATTAATTGTTCAGTTTCTCAACAGTAACTGCTTCAACAAAAACTTTAAAAAAATCTTATATTAAAAACCTTATATTTTATGATACGATTTTATGATTCTGCACTGGTTTCAATTTATCTACAATGATATTTTTTCAGTTCATCCCTCCACTGCAGGATTAACTCCTAGGGTTGTTCATCCCAAGTTTTGACAGGGAGTCTGGTGTTGATTGTCCAAACGCAATTCTTGTGTTACTTGTCCATATCCAGGAGTTGTGGATGGACATCATGCACCCGACTCTCATTTACTCCCTCGTACTTTTTACTGTGGTAACAGAGATCAACATGGGACCTAATCAATTGTCATGTAGCTCCTATAATAAGAAGGGACTGCATTTTAATAGTAGTAAAAAAGTTTGATTCTGCAGGGCCCATACTGGATTTTAAACAGTTTGTTGAAGTTGATCATGTTAAGCTTCCAGACACTAGACTGGATTTTCAACTCCCTGAATTCTCTCTTGCAGCCTATCTAGACAGAATCGACCTTCTCTAAGCTACAGCAGTGGAGTTACATTTTTAAATTTTCTCCCTAGTTCCAAAGAGCTGAAATTATTTGAATTTATTTTAGGTGTGTGGATATCATATTATCTTAGAGAAGCAAGTAAACTGAACACATGGATCAGTTGTTTATATAGTTTTACTAGACAGATAAATATTAGTACAATTGGTATCTCTCGCTATGTAAGGAGAATCAGATTATTAATGGGTGAGGAGATGATATACCACAAGGCCACATGGCTTGTGGTTGAAATGAAATGGAGTCTGACAGAGATGTTTCTTCCATGTGCCAAATGTGTTTGGATTATACAAGGCCATGACAAACTGTATGTATATGTGTATAATTTATATGTATTCGTTAACTTGATTTTAATTGTACAGGAGCCAATATTTTTCAGTTCTTTAAAACTATCTTAATCTCAATGTTACAGCTATGTATTATTTAATCTGAAACTTTGATGTATGTTAAAAATACAATTCCAAACGTTTAAAGGAATATCCTGAACTAAGTTGATAAAGATATATACGATTGATTGCTTATTGACCAAAAATGAGTTAGAATTCAAATTTAATCTCCTTATACAAACATAATGGATCTACTATTATAAAAGGGCCATAAAAGGTGGAAAATTGAGGCAAAACTTCAGAGGGATCAGTGCCCTTAATCTGGAACACTTGGCTCGAATAACCATTTTAGTGCATAAATTCTTCTAAAACTCTTGACATGGATGTTTATGGGTGTTTACATTTACACAAAAGTTATGAGTATAAAGTAAAACATCAATAAAGATGTAATCATTGGATGCATTCACTTACATTTTTTTTTAAAATGTACATATAAAAAAGTGAATTCTCTGCCCAGTCAGTGTGTTTAATGTGGAATTGCATATTGTATCCTGCTACACTTGAATGGAAGATCTGTTTTTTTGTAACTGTTTATTTCATCTTACACCAAGCTGCTCATGTAGAAAGAAATAAAGTTTCTGGCCTTGTCCCTGTTTATCTTTGTTATTTGCTTATTTGTTCTGTGTCATAAATCCCAAGTGCAGCTGTGATGCACTCTGCTATAATTGATAGAGGGTTTAGTTATTTTGTTTTTGTACCATTTTGCCAGATTAGAATTGCCTAACATCAGACAGAATTGTCAACTCGGTGGAGTAGGCGGATTCAAAGGTCTCGACCCAGGCAAAGATCAGAATACAGTTTGGCAGCTTTTTAAATTCGATTCAGCATATGAGTTCACTAATGAATACGCAAATGATTGGGGATTGTAAAGTTGCAAGTAACCTGCACAGTATGCTTTACTATTAATAAGACATATAAAAAAATCTGATTAACCAAACTGAAGAAAGTGTTGTAAGTAGGGAGTTTACAGATATATTTGAGCTCTACTTTAGCAAATCATTCCTGCATTAGAGTCAACAGCAGGCACTTCATCCCAAACAGAATACACTTGATTTCTTGTAAATCACATGATCTGGCTGACTTGCAGTAGCCAATGAGGGAATGGTTACCCATTGTGCAATAGAAACACACACACACTTTCCATGCTGCAAGCCAGGCAGTAATATAAAATCAAACGTTATAGTCTAAAATGGATCAGTCCACTATGATCTGATCTGCATTGTTAGCCTCATTATTATTTATTTATTTTATTATTAGATTTCATACTTTCATCTGCGTAGAAATGTACACACTACTGAACCACAAAGCCTGTCACACTTATGTACACATCAGCATGCATGTCATATTTTACCATTTTCTCTGTTTATGTCTGTATCACTATGAGGAATAATTTTGAATTTACTGTTTAAGTTACCTTTGAAGAAAAAAATAGAGGGAGGGCACTGAGGGATCCAACGATTGAGAAATACAGGGGTGGATGAATAACAAAACCTCATTTAATCTGAAGTCTGTGTCAGTGCAGGCAAAGAAATAGGAGCTGCACAATGAAGTGCCACATCTTTTTTATGCTGCTCCTGATCTTGACTAAGGAATCAGAGTGTTCATCGGACAACGGGTAAATGTAGAAATAGCTGCATGAACCTACATTATGTAATAATGCAATGTAATGCCAACCTTTTTCTGTGAGGGTTAAATTATGCTCTCTGACTTCTGAACTTTGATATAATTACACAGTAAATAACTTGCAAATGTTTACAGTATAATATATGTTAAATTATAAATTTTGTCATAATATAAAAGATAAGACAAAATATGTGGCATTACAGATGTTTATCCATAGTAATTGCTATTAAGAAAGTGTTATTTTTCACTTTTGTGTGCAGATTCTTCATCTCAGCCCCTGGAGTGTTTCATGTGGGTGTAAATGAGAAAGTGTTTGTCCAGATGGGAAAATCTCATCTTAATCAGACTGTTTCTCTTCACCTGGAGCATAAAACTGGTATTGTGTCTGCGAAGAAAACTGTTGTGTGTGCTACGGAAGGGGAGATCAAAACAGTGGAGCTCATGGTATGAGAAACTTCTGCACTTATACAAAAAACAAACAATTTAGACGGGACTGAGATGTTATTAAACCAAACTTCTAATTTGCATCTTTATAGATAGACATGGAACATATGTCAAGTTTTTCTCAACATCGAGACCGTATGCACCTTATGCTGGTGGCAGAGAGCCCCTCCTTCCTTCACAGGAAGCAAACCAGGGTCCTGGTATCAAATCACAGGGGCAATATCTTTATTCAGACTGATCAGCCAATCTACAACCCAACACAGACAGGTAAAAGAAAAGTCAATAAATGTAAAAAAAAAACAAAAAACAAGTAAAACAATGTAAAATTAATTCTCAACAAAAATTAACAGTGATTGATGTTGATTATCTCTTCTAGTGAACTACAGGATATTCACTCTTGACCACACATTCAGGCCTCATGAGGGAGTGTTCCAGATATCAATTTATGTGAGTAGACACATTTTCTTTGAGAATTAAGAGGACTTTGAAAGATGGGCACAATTATTGTCATGGTTTAATTTCATGATTTATGCATTTTATGATAGAATGCTGGTGGAAAAAGAGTATTCAACTCTCTTAAGATTGCAAAGGGAGGAATATTCAAAGACATATTTCACATACCTGATGTCTCCAAGTATGTTAAAACACATTTATAATAAATTGGGTCTAACATAACAGCACAAGCAACTTTGAAATAATAACACATGTATGTTTTGTTTGCAAAGAATGGGCACATGGAAGATTACAGCACACTATGAAGATGATGAAGCCAATGCTGCCTCCCGAGAGTTTAAAGTCCAAAAATTTGGTAAACTAATTTAAGTATGACTTCTTTCTTTAAAATGATCAGATAATATTTCTTACCCGTAAAAAATATTTTATCCCTACACACCCTAGTTTTACCCAGTTTTGAGGTGAACATCGCAATGACGCAGAGGTATATTCTGTTAAATGCTGAACAGTTTGACTTCACCATCTCAGCCAAGTAAGTGTTGACTAAATTCTCATTAAAGTTAATGTACTGCCAAGTTTCCTGTTAAAGCTGCATTATTCAATTTTTGGCAACTGTATGCCACGAGAACTGGCAACAGGTAAAGAAAAAGAAAAACACACAAATCATTGCCTTAGTTGCTAACATTGCAATTGTGTGTCATTAAGTGACCCCTTTCATATCCCTACTAATTTGATTCAATATTAATGTACAAAAAAAAGTTGATGAATGCAGTTTTGAAATGAAGGAAAGCTTCCTAGTCCACATATTTTACAACATAGGCTATTATGATAATCTTTAGGCTTGACTACATTTTCAGACTCTCTTTTTGTCTTGATCTTAACAGTACCAATTGTACAATCATTTTCTCTAGGTATTCACATGGTGAGAACGTTAAAGGGGCTTACCACTGCCAATTTGGAGTGGTAGAAAAAGGCCGTGGTAAAACAACGAAGCCTGTCTTTATCCCGGGAGTGGCGTTGACTGATTCGGTGAGGAAACGGATATTTAAAGCTTATTTAAAGATCCGAGATCAGATAATCTGCCTACCTATTGCATCTTTTAAGGGTTACAGTAGTTAAAGGTCAAGTATTTCTTGCAGGTCGAGAATGGAACTGCAGCAGCTTCTCTCCGGATAGCAGACTTAAATATGCACCTCCAAAAAAAGAACAATGAAACCCTCTCTGACTTGCAGAAAAGGGGATCACAAATCTACTTGGGAGTATTTGTCACCAACATACAAAGTAAAAGACACTCTTCCACGCTATATACCAATGTTTACATCAGCAACTTCCCAATTGATCTCCAAATAAAAAACTGTTGTGTGTAATGATGTAAAGTGAGAAAATATTTTATGTGCAAAAGATTCTGTGTTTTGTATATAGCCGCATGTGTTGTGCACAAAGTATGTTTAGTCATACTATAATCATAATACTAACAATAATAATTGTATTATACAATAGCCATTACATATTTTAGAGGGTATAAGTAGAAATAGAATAAGAATATGACAATATTTGGAACATTATTGTGATTTTTCATTCATATCTGATTCTTTTTGGTCCAGGTGGTGAAATACAAGAGGCAGAAGTTTACCTTCCTGTCATCTCCCACAAATACACCATAGATCTGTCTCGAACCCGCTCATTTTTCCTTCCTGAATATCCACTAGACGTGGTGGTACGCATTCAAATAACAAATGGGTACACAGCTATGTAAATGAGTGTATTGGTTTTGTATGTAAAATATTTTGTTTGTTGTTATTAGGTGGTTGTGCGTCTCCCAGATGGCTCCCCAGCAGCTGGTGTGCCAGTAAAGATTGATGTACCAGTATCTTCAGATAAATCTTGGCAAGGCACCACTGACCAGGAGGGGGCAGTCTTTACTGTATTTAATATTGGAACTACAGCTCAGATCACTGTTGAAGTCAGTATCCCTAAGATCTAACATTGTTGATTAATTGATAAACTACTGGACAGTCAGTTCAGTTTAACTGGTTACACTCTGCCTTCATTAGGTGTCTGCAGACGGCCTTCAGCAAAGGAAAGTAATTCAACGTGCTTCATCTCCGAGTAACAGCTACCTTTACCTGAGCATTACCAACAAGATGTACTCTGTGGGCGACTCTCTAACTGTAGTTTACAACACCAATGGCCAGAAAGATGGGTTTATATACTACATGGTGAGGCATATCTGAGTGAATGCAACATGGTTTGTTTTGACAAAGAGAAGCAACAGTTTTGTGTCATATCTAACATGTTATAACTGACTGTGTTGTAGGTCTTAAGCCGTGGGATCCTAATAAAAAAGGGTTCTCTCAGAATGCATACTACAGTTAGTAGAGACAACCTGCAGATAACGCCTGATATGGTGCCATCTTTCCGTCTGATTGGCTACTACTATGACCAGCATGGTAACATCATTGCTGACTCGGTGTGGGTAGATGTCAGGGATGAAGTGTGGGGTAAACGTCAAGGTGAGTAAACAGATCAGATTAAGAGGCAGCCTAGAGGAGAGGGAAGACAGTAAACAACAGAACTTTTACCTCTGTTGGACTGTTTGTTTCACACACTTCTTGAGCAGATCCACAATCACAGGCCAGGCTACACAAATTACTTGTTTTTTCTCTCTTAATACTGCAAGATGTAGGGCAAACTGCAATGCAGGCATATGTAATGCGTTACATAATTTAACATTAAGACTATTTGGGCCTTGGCCCAGGTCTGCGGGCTCTCCGAGCTGCCCTTCTAGTTATGAATGGGTTTGGAGGTAGACAGGGAGGTATTCCTGTTTAGGTTGTTTCAACTAGTGAACACAGCCCCCATGTGTTTGTATTTTATTTAGATGTTTTGTTTGCGCATCATTTAAAAATCCCCAATATTTTACTTTAATTTAGGTGGAACAAAAGGCAGCATTTGTACCAGGAAAACACGCTGAACTACGATTTGATTTACATGGTCAGAATGCCAGAGTGGCTTTGCTGGCTGTGGATAAAGCCATCTACGCTCTAAAAGCCGATAATAGACTCACAGCCAAACAGGTAACACTTTCACACATTCCCTCATATCTATTTTCTCTTAAACAGAGATTATTCAATTCAACCCATATATAATAATACAGTGAATCAAAGCTCCTGTACCTACTTTTCAGGTGTTTTCCTCTATGGAGTCAAATGACCTTGGTTGCTCATACAGTGGAGGATCTGACCCTGCGTCTGTACTAATAGAAGCTGGCCTGTCTTTTGTATCTCAGTCCCAATCGAAGTGGAAAAGGGAGTATGGGACAAAAACACAGTTTTTCTTTCATTTTCTTTCATCCAGTTTTAGATTGTGTTTATACGAGTATTTTATTCTGTCTAAATGTAATAGAAGATGGATGAATGAAGCAGAGAGCTGATTCAGTTGAAGACAATTGCCTGATAATTGTCAAGACTATATGAGTTAATCAATCCAAACTCAAGCCCAGCTGCCACAGGACTTATTTTTCCCATGTTGGGCTTTAATTGCTGCTTATATATACTTTCTAGAGCTTGGCTGTGATTCACAATCTGCACGACAGAGACGTTCTGTAGACCTTCAACAGGAAATGATTACCTTACGTAAGTCAACTTTCTGACATTACTACAAAATAATGTAAGATACGTCTGGTAAGAATATACTATAAAATGTGTCTTTTTTTCTTTTTAATGTCACTTTCAGAATCCAACTTTACTGATGAAAAGTTGAAAGAATGTTGTGTTCATGGGTTTTCTCTCATCCCTATGAGACGAACATGTCAGGAAAGAGCGCAGAGAGTCTCTCTGGTGGAAGCAAATTCTTCTTGTGCAGATGCTTTTTTAAAATGCTGCTTTGAAGGAGAAAGACTGAGACAACAAAAGATACAAGAGGATGCCCAGAAAGGACTTGGCCGGAGTGAGATGAAATTTTCATGTGGACATTGAATACTTTACACATTTACTTAGCTATCATTTAATAACTGTGGCATGATTATCACAGTTTAGTTACAAATTTTGAATTTTCTCATTTTTAGCTGCTAGCACAGCTATCATTGAACAGTTCTTCTTGGACACGGCTGCTCAGTACATCCGACGATATTTCCCCACAAGCTTTGCTTTCACAGAATTTGATGTGAATGGGAAGGGAAGGTAATATATGGACAATTAATGTATAATTAACTTTAAAGCAGATTTGATCTAATATTTTATTTTCCAGTGAAATACAGTGGCTAGTTATAGACTTTAAAACCATTGCTACCCTATGGCTTTGTTTATATCATTTGCATTGTTTGTTGCTTTTAATATTGTCAGTGTGAGACTTTATGCTTTTTCCACCATTCAGTGTAAGTGAATCTGTTAAATCCATAATCTTAAAGCTGAGGTGGGCAGTTATTAATAGTTTTTGTTTCATTCATTTGGCAAAGACGCAGCATATTGTAATTCAAGTGGTCTGAGAGAAAACTAGACATCTACAAATGCAGATGCACGTCCCTTGAGATGGCGAAAGCCTAATTCAATGGCGGACAATCCTGCAGGAAATCCTTTGTGATAAATTTCCAATACAACCTTTTTCAGCAGCATATAGTACAAAGGACATGTGTGAACAAGTTCCGGCTGCACACAGAGCTTCAGGCTCATTATGTTTGATTCCACAGCGCTTGTATCAACAAGTGGCAAAGGCAAAGAAAATTATAATTATTAACATATAATAATTATAATTATTATATGTCACGCCTTTTGAGGCGTGACAGTGTGGTGTGTGTGGTGTACTAGCCGCACAGAAGAAAGTTGTTATTAGAAGTCGGTTTAGCAGTCCCATAATACAGTGCTCCCCTCACAAAAAAATCAGTTTCCTCTGTTTCTTGCCCCCAATCGCTGAAATGGGAGGGGCTTAGCCGAGTTATATGAGCCAGCAGAGAGAGAGGAGGAAAGTTTTTCACAGTGTATGTTGAAAATGCCTACTGCAGCTTTAAGTCTACAATATACACAAAGCATTTCTCAGATGCATTTTAATTAATTGTAAACTTTTAGGTACTCTTTTGCTGTACCTGATTCCATCACCACGTGGGAGATTCAAGTTGTCACTTTATCTGCTGCCACTGGTAATAACAGCTTCCCACTTCACAAATGCATCTTGGATATTAGACTGAAGAGCTTCTCATTAATAATTGCACTTCCTCTATGATTCATTCAGGTTTCTGCGTAGTTAAGCCGTCTGAGTTCAGAGCATTTAAGGATGTGTTTGTGTCTCTAAAACTGCCTTACTCAGTGAAGAAATATGAGCAACTATCCATTGCGCCTGTTATCTACAACTATGGCTCCAGCGAACTACAGGTAGATATAACCTAATGTGGCACCGCCTACTGTGCAAACTGAAATTTAATTCTTAATGTTTTTTTTCCTTCGGGACATTTCTATAGGTGGCAGTTCATATGGAACAAACTGAGGGACTTTGCTCCCCCAGTTCAGCCTCCACTACAAGTTTTGTTAACATTACTGTGGAGCCACAATCTTCCCAGTTTGTCTCCTTCTCTGCTGTCCCCATGGTAACCGGCTCAATACCCATCAAAATACGTCTCTACGATATGGAGAAGGACTGGGGAATAGATGCAATTGAGAAGACTTTGAATGTGTTGGTGAGTGACAAAGACATTATGTCTGCAAAACAAATATTATAAAAAACAAAATAAATATGCCGACTGGCGTAATGCAAGTCATATTAAATCTCAGTGACATAAGTATTTTCTGTTTCTTGTTCAGTCAGTTGAAATGAGCATCCAGTACAGATAATGTACTGCATACTTTTTAGTGTCATCAAAATGTGTCAATCTGTTTTCTAAAATAAATATAAAAACTTTTATAATAGCAAATAGTTCTCTTACTGTCAAAACATTGCTCTGAAGCTCAATTCTGAGACTGCTCTGTAAATAGTTCTCTAATAAATATGGCAACTTTGGATCAACCAATCATATCAATTTCAGGCTTAAATGAACAACTTCCAGTTAGTCCCACCCATGTCTAGTTTAAGCCCCACCCATTCCGAGTACATATACAGATACAGATAACTTATTTGGTTTAACAGATACAGACAGTGGTGTACGCACTCATCCCTAATAATTATATTTAATTTAATTTCAAATATTTTTTATTTTTTATTTATTCTTATAACTAGTGCTGTCCTCTAATAGTCAACTTAATTGTTCATTTTCATTAGTCGGATAGTCACAGAAAAACAAAAACAATGTTAAACATTGTTGCAACACAGGGAGTCACTCCCCGGTGCACTATTGCCTATGCTAACTGTACTAGCTGCAGCCACTATTCAGTGGTCCTACCATTCCTACCCCAGTCCAGGTACAGACAGCTAGTACCTGGACTGGGGTAGGAACGGGGGACCCATCAGCTCACAGCTGATTTACAGCAACCACGACTAGGACTATTCTGGGGATGAAGACATGGTGGGTTCAGGTAGGGACAGGAGAGCTATGAAACTAAGGAAGAGGAGTGAGTTTATAGTGAGTTATTTTGTAAGTAACTGATAACGTTATATGTCATCCATCGTATCTTTAAGTCCACCAGTATTTGTTTTTGTGAAGTTGAAAGTTAGTTATTCCAACAACGAGACTGTGTGATGTTACCCTGTGTAGAAATAAATTAACTAAACATTCAGTCTCCTTTCAAAATCATTACTGTTTTTATTTAACAGGCGGCTGTTAAAATATGTATTAAATAATGAAATTAATATCATAAACGTGTAACAACTAGTCAACTAGGAAAATCTTGGGGACAGTCCTAATTATAACTAATGAGCACATTTGTGTACTACTAATGTTTACTTAAATCAACACACTTTTATTACACACTATTTGCATATTTCTCTATTTTCTCATGTTGCAGACAGAAGGACTACAACAGAGAGAGGAAGAAACCCTGGTGTTTAAATTAGATGGTGAGTTGTTGCAGTATTTATACTTGCATAACAGTTATTATTTTTATCCTTCAATATATATTGCCTTTATGTTTGCTTTAATCAATTTACCTCTCACCATTTTGATAGGGACAAACACTAAGAATTTCACTCTTGACGGATCTTTACCAAATGACATAGTCCCTGACTCCATCTCCAATATTTATATTTCAGTGGAAGGTATGCGCTTTTAGACACATACATAAAATTCAAAGACCTTGGTAAATAAGTATCTCACCCTTTCAGTGTCCTCATTTGACAGGGGATGGATTTGGCCGTTCACATGCAAGGAACCTTCTTTCCTTTGAGAAGGTTGCTGGCTTGATCGTACTGCCAACAGGATGTTTAGAACAGACAATGGTACGGCTAGCCCCTACAGTTTCAGCTCTCCGCTACCTTGACCTGAGTGACCAATGGTTTGACCTGCCTGCTGGTACCAGAGATGATGCTCTTAAAATAATTGAGAAAGGTAGGAACATATCAAGCAGTTAACCGCACAATGTTGTTATCATTTATGAACTAAATTCAAATTGTTTCTATGACTAAGCACACAAATATAATATAATATACAAATATTTAAGAAGAAAGTTTCAGCCAAACTCAAATTATAATATGTGTTTTGATTTCTGTTCCTCTTGCCTATTACAAGAACCAGAAGAGCCTGTCTGTCTTTCTGTCACACTTATAACATATAACAATAAGGTGTCTTACTGAATTTAAGTTTAATCTGTTCAGTGACCCCTGTACCTTTCCATTAGTGCCACCATCAGGACAACATTTTCTGCCTATTGTTTTTTACTTTCAGGGTAAAACTTGCTCTCTAGAATTATGTTCCATGGATGCAAATGCGTGGATATACATAGACTCAGTACAGTAATTGGTTGGATCATAGGGCACCGAACTGAGGAAGCTGTATATTGAACCGAAGGTCCTGTCCCGGTTCAGGACAAATACACGTACCCCTAGATCAGATGACGGGGAAGAGAGCCGGATAGACCTGGTAAAATGTGTTGTAAAGGTGAACTGGGACTATCTGGCTGAGGCCCCTGTACACTAGGTCTTTAGCTCCCACTTCCCAGACATTTCTCATGTATTCCTGGGTGAGGTTAGCAACATGGGGCCATGTTCCTAGTCTGCATTGTTGAAGCAGTAGGAACTAGGAATTGTGGTCAGAATATTGACTGTGCCTGTTTTGGCAGTAACCACCAGTATTGAAGGACAACGTCTAGCCAAGAAGGAGGCAAAAACTGTTGTGTGGGAGTTTCAGTTGGCCTCAAGGAAGTTCTGGCAAACTGTTAAATGACTCTAGAAGGTAAAGCAGGGCTTGGCTCAGGTTGTGTGCAGGGCAGGCCTGATCTGGACTGGGAATATTGTCCAGCAGTCAAAAGAAGCCTTTGAACAATATTTTCTAAATGAACATCATGCTGTATAGAGAAAGACTTTAAACTAGAGATTGAGACCATAAACTCATTAGGAAACGGTTTACTGAGCTAATAATTTAAGTGAGCAGTCGGGTCATTTCTTCATTAGAGTGCATGGTATTGTTTTTTTATTCCGGTTGCAGGTCACTGACAAAGCTATAGACATTTTTTTTAACAATGTAAACACTTTCTTTGTCAGGTTGTATGAGGATTTTAACATTCAGGAAACGCAATGGATCTTATGGAGCATGGGGTTCAGTGCCATCTAGTACCTGGTGAGTGTGTGTTTTTAGCTGCCTTATTGATTTGTGATGGAAGGTAGTTACTTCCAATATCTCACATAGTAAATCAACTGTCCTCGCTTCCAAATTCTCAAAGTCAACTTTTTTTCAGTTATTATTCTTCCTCTTGTCCTCAGGGTGACAGCCCTTGTAGTGAAAGTGCTATCGTTGGTGGCAGAGCGTCAAACTGTGGATTTTGGACAGCAGGGCAAGATGGCTAAGGTTGTAACAGAAAAAGAGATCAGTCACACAGTCAGGCACTTGCTGACAGTGCAGCAGCCTGATGGGTCATTCAGTGACAAACAACCAGTGCTGCACAGAGGAGTTCTGGTAAGATGTACTGTGTGACATGTTAAAACATGCATATATGTATATTAGAACAGTATTGCATAATTTCAACAGCAGTGATTTGAATGCAATATTGTTTCTGTGTGTTTAATGTAGAAAGGCATAGATCAAGAAGCATTCATGACAGCTTTCATAACTCTTGCTCTGCAACGGTCCCTTCAATTCCTGGAAACTGAAATGAGAAATTATGCGGTAACTAAAGTTTTTGAAGTCTATATATATTTTAATACACTGTAGTCAATGTATCATTTGCAAAGAAGATTAGGTCCAAACAATTAATTGACTAATACTACTTTCTAACAGGGAAAAACAATTTCAAAATCAATAGCATACCTCCTGTCACACTTTGAGGAGCTTCAGCATCCCTATGCTGTTGCCATTACAGCCTACTGTCTTTCAGTTTGTCAACCAGAGGGAACGGATCTTTCATCTGTCTGGTCAAAACTTGAAGGACTGGCTACTGAAGGCATGTCCAATTAAAGCGAATAGGTGTGGGCGATATGGATAAAATATGTAATTTCATATTGTGTTGTCCAAATATATATCGAAAACAGCCAGTATAGTCAGTTAAGTATGATCAATTGAGAAACTGATATTGGATAAAATAAACTGACAGAAATATCTGTCTTTAGCAAACCCAGTGAATTACATGGATGAAAAAATCATATAAAAGTCCAATTTAACCATAAATCAGTTCTTGTAAATGATTTACAGCATTGCCTAATACACCCAGATATATTAAAGTTATATTGTGATATGTGGCAGAACATTTGTTGACCAGTTTATAATATCTCATATATTTACATATCGCCCAACCCTAAGAGCAACCAGATTTGTTTTGGTCAATATGTTAATTGTTTTTATTTATTTTTTTACTGATTGCCCATTTCTGAATTCATCAGGGAAGAATGGTTGTTATCTGTGGACAACTAATGACAGCCCAGAGAATCAGAAGTTTGCAGATGTCATTACAGTAGAGACGACAGCCTATGCCCTCCTAACTGCAGTGGAACTTGGGCATATCACGTGGGCAGACAAAACAGTCTGCTGGTTAACCACCCAAGAAAACTATTTTGGAGGCTTCAAATCATCCCAGGTGATTGAGACACTAGATTGAGAAATGTTGAACCCAAAGAATCCTTGTATTTGGACATGACCCCTGTATCATTTGCTTAATCTGTCATCATATAATCCAGATTTACTGTCAGACTAGAAATATTAAACATGTTATCAATGTTTTATTACCATGTGCAGGATACCATCATGGCACTGGAAGCCCTCGCAGAGTATGAGCTAAAGAGGACCAACACTCCCGAAGCAAATGTAATAGCAGAGTTCTCAGCCCCAGGAAGGAGTGACATTGTAAAGCTTGAACTGGAGAAAAAACGGCAGAAAGTGGAAACAGACGTTAAGGTATCATAGAGCATTGTCAGCATTACACTTAAAGGGCCAGTATTGTAAATAAAGTCAGATAGGTTGTGGGTTAGCAAACTGTTGCTACAGTTGTTTCTGTAAAGCTAACATGCAGAGAGAACAAGATGGTTTCACTGCTTCTATAACTTACATTATATGAAGAGAATGTCTTGCAAAACTAGAAAGTAAGTTTGATGATCATCTAATAAGTAAGTAATTTAACATTACCTGACACACAAATCATGGCTGCTGGCTCGTTCTGAGCCACTTTGTATGTTTCCTATTTACAGAGCCTGGGCTGTATTGTTGTTAGTGGGCTGTGAGGAGATATAATAAGCGTTTTGGAAATCTAGAATTGCACACCTCACCTTTAAATATCCACAGAATTATTCAACGTCATTCTTAGATTGCTTGTTTTTTCTTGTGTTTTTTGTCTCAGAAACTTGTAGGAAACAACATTGTTGTGCAATTGACAGGAAAAGGCCATTTCAAGCTAAAAGTAAGTCTGATCAATATCTGTATATGTGATCAAAGAGAGCCATCGTTTACAATAAATCCTCAATCTGTTTGGCAGGTTTTAAAGGTTTACCATCTACTGGAACCCAAGAATGATTGTAACCAAGTGTCTATCAGCGTCACAGTGGAGGGGAAAGTGAAGTACACTGGTGAGCTTTTCTTACTGATAACAGATCACAGACACATGTACTGCTGGTAAAAGCAACACAGTTTCATTAACCTCTGTCTCCCTAGCTAAGGTCATAGAAAATTATGAATACTATGATGACTATGATATTAACGAGGACTTGAAGGCACGAGTGCCACGATCAGAAATTGAGTTGTTTGACGCCCGCACCCGAAGTAGAAGAGATCTTGATAACGACTTAAATTCAGACGAGACTGTCACCTACAGAATCTGTGTCAGGTTAGTTAATACGATTCAAATCACATCTTCTCAGTATTCATGAGACAATGAGCTTTGTCTATATTTACTTCTGCCAAGTAGGTTTTGTTTTCAGGTCCGATTGTTTGTTTGTCAGCAGGATTTTGGAAGAACTACTGGTCTGATTTTCATGAAACTTGATAGAAGGATGTGGCATGGGCCAAGGAAAAACACACTATATTTTTAAGGGGATCTGAATAACTGGGCAGATGCACCAATGATTTTTCACTTTCGTTAACATTGCAAAGTTAATAGGTTGTCACATTACTGTCTACAGCAAAATTAACAGAATTTTTCATAAACCCATGAACCTATTGTAAATTACACTGAGTGAAAACTCAACAGCCGCCTCAAACATCCCTGTAGTAACAAAACGCCTTGGCAGATGTCTATGCTCTCCGAGTGCCTCTCTAGTTTTAATTGTTTTCCTGTGTGTAGTCATAGCCAGAACAGAACGCTCACAGGAATGGCCATTGCTGACATCACACTTCTGAGTGGATTTGAGGCTTTAACTACGGACCTGGACATGGTTAGTAGCTCCCTCTGCCTCCTTTTCATCATCATCATCATTTCAAGCAGCTCACGTTGTCATGTCCCATTCATTTTTCAATAGACAAGCTGAGGTGATTGACAGTTGGAGCTTGAATGAACGGACATGAAACTCTGTGTCAGAAAATATCTGGTTCTTCAAAAGAAAGTCGCAATAAAAGCCTTTAAGTTAACTATGACAATCAGCAGAGACTCCAGGAAGTTACTGCTCCTGCCAAATAAATACTCATAACCCCTTGTAAAATGGCAATCTGTAGTTTTTTGTTTAGATTAAACATACCATATACATGTTAATTAGTAAAGATAACTTTGGTCAGAGCCAGGCTAGCTGTTTCCCCCTATGTCGACTCTTGTCGAGTGTTTATTCTTAGCTAAGTTAGCCGTCATATTTAGCCTACCGACAGACGGTTTGAATTCTGGATTAAATGTATTATTTAATGAAGGAATCATATTTTGTGACGCAACGATGAAGCGGTTTGAATTCACGACTGTTTCTGATTTGCGTCTGGCTTGTTCTCCATGGCAACGGTGACAGAAGCTCCTGGGTACCATCAGAAGAATTTGAAATGAAAATACAGATGGGACAAAAACATATCCAGAACAAGCAGTCCTCCCTTAAGTCTTTTCTTCTACTATATTAAATTTAAGTGCTTGTCTCCTCGTAGTTAAAACTGCCACCTGAACGATACATTTCCCATTATGAGGTCACCTATGGAAGAGTGCTGATCTACTTCAATGAGGTATGGCTGAAATCTATTTACATACAAAAACATTTAATATGTCCAATACTAAAAGATTTCCTCTCTCACCCTAGCTCTTTGAAAGAGAGGAATGCATTAGTTTTGATGCTATACAGAGAGTACCAATTGGCCTTCTCCAGCCTGCTCCAGCTGTGTTCTATGATTATTATGAACCAAGTAAGCTTTTTATTTGATATTTTCTGCATTTTTTTGTCAGGACAGAGGGGACATGTCTTTAAATTTGTCAGGAATTTATAAACTATTTGTTCTTTCCTTGCAGACATAAAGTGCACTGTGTTCTACTCCGCCCCCCAAAGAAGCAAGATGGTCTCCAAACTGTGTTCAGAGGATGTGTGCCAATGTGCAGAAAGTAGGCCATTACTCTTAAGACCCATATTGCCAAACACCTGAGAATAAATGTAACTTAGCCATTCAGATTTGTGTAAACGACTAAAATTGTATTATGTTCCTCTTTTCTTTAGGACCCTGTCATAAAATACAAAATACATTCCAAACACAAAATCCCAAAATCACAAAGAGTATCCGTTTACAACATGCTTGCTTCT